CGAATATGTTTGTATTGTAATATTGTGTTTTCGCTTATTCCTGTTTTTATTTTTATCAGTAACTTCATATCTATTATCATATTTAATTTCTCTGTGCTTATACGTTCTCCCAATTTATGCACGTAGTGTACACATTCGAATAAATTGTAATTATATGTTAATATAGCATTTTTTGTATTTGACGGCATTATTAAAAACCACTTGATAGGTCAGTGTTTCGTTTTTTTATATTTAGAATTAGAGCATGGCATGCATATACATTTTATGATATGTGATAACAAGGCGCATTCTCGAATGTTCACCGATGAATGCGTTAATTTCAGGAACTTCATTTATTGAGGCATACTTCATCCACATCAAATTACCGTCAATTCTGAACTTTTTGTTCGGGAACGTTCTTGACGCTTTTCATACATTTGTTAACAGCAGACCAGAAACATCTTTCATAGAAAGACTACGAATACACCATCGAGCAAATCTGAGATTTAGTATTAGGTTTTGGAACATGCATAATATTGTGAACGATATACTTGCTTCCTGTCAACAATTAAGCTGGTTCCTATTAATGAACGGATGAGTTAGGGCTTATCGCTATCATAAAACTTAATTATTGTACTCAGTGACGTAAAAGGGGCATGATTTCTGCATTGCAAAATCGCAACATGCGGTAGCGAAAGTCAGTAAAAGTTGTAAAGTGTCTGGGTTAAAATTCGAACTGACTATGACTCTAGTTGTGACGGTTGTCAGGAAACCCACCACAATCAAAACTGCAGTGTATGGTGTTCAACTTCAGTAAGTAACCTCTTACCCATATCTTTGCTCTATATTGAAAGAAAACGAATATTCATCAACGTCTTCGAATGGCAAGAACTGACCAGAATATGATTAAATAGCGGCATTCGGAACTTCACCAAGTTAAAGCTTATGATATTTCTGATCACCAACAATGGATGTGAAATTTGAATCGTCAGAAAGCAAAAAACAAGTCCATTTTATCTTTTCAATTCTAATGTTGCTCACGGCTAAGGCGAAGCGCGTAGAAAGACTTTTGGGTCAACGGATTAGTCATAAAACAAATGTTCACTCAGTAGGCGCTCCTGTAAGAAATACAGGAGTGAAAACTGCGATCTTTTGCCATGTCTGCAGTAATAACCGTGACTGTCTGGAAATAATGGTATTACGTAAATGTTCTCTGGGACCGAAGCTAAAGGAAGACATTAAAAGAGGATAAACGGTAGATGTTATACTGTTGACAAAGCTTAGCGTCATTCACGCCATGGGCACCACTAATGAGCATAAGTGGCTTTGAACTGCACATCATGATATCGACTTTCTGTTTATGCGTTGATACTCTATTTTTGGTATTACTATATCATCGAGCATTTCAACTTAAAACTGGTGGTTTGTCGTCATCCATCAATTTATGGAAACTAAATGACACTTTTGCAAGGAGCAAGAGCACGATTAGATTTTTTGACTTCACGTTTCCGGATCTAAAGTGCCTTAGGTATTAGAATCAAATTATGGACACTCAATAAACGCAGACAGACCTTGGTTCCATATTGCGATGCGCGGAATCAGACGTAAATTAAATTTCGAACATAACCGCATTATATGGATTATATAGATGTGTAAATCGAAGTCTGCCTACTAGTTTTATCCGCCTGGCACTGAAGATGCTCAAGTGTCATTCACCTGTGGCCTGCGTAAATGCTTCCTTTTTTCCGGGGCAACTGATGACAAGAGGACCTCAGAATACGTCGTGGCATCTGGTCTTGGAGGAGTTGCGTACTAATTTTATTTGCGTAAACTGAAACAAGTGTGTTGCAATTAATTTATGAAACTGAAACTATAACAGAGAAGCGTTACAGATTCCAACCATGAGGCCACTATAAACTGTTTTGTGAAGAGAGAAGGAGGTATTTATTTATTGGCACAGTTTCCGTGTTGATCAAGTGTTTTAAAGCTGAAGCTGCAGCGTAGATAATGAACTGGAGGCGTATGGTTAGTAATTGCTTACGACTGGTCAATCGAGTAGCAGTTTCAAATTAGTTAACGTCTGCCGGAATGAGGAGGGCAAGACAGTGGGACAGACTTGAGGAAGGGTCATGAGCTATAATCTACGCAGTGCTTCGGGTTGAAGGCTAAGATGATTTTTCAACCGGGCCAGTAATGGCTCCCTTAAAACTACCCGTTTTCCGTGTCGCAGGGGGCGGACGACGATCAAATAAAGGGGAAGACGAGTTCAGAAGAGTGAAGTACAGTGATGTTTACTTCGAAGGTTTGTACGCTAGGGTCCTGACTGGTCGATAAATCCTGACTGGTAATCATAGCCACCAAGTAGTTGCAAAGAGCATGGCACACTTGAGCCGGTTTGCATGATAGCTCTCTTCCGTGGACGCAGATGGGGGCCTTTGCTTCATAAACAGGTACCTGCTTACATTCGAGTAGCATGGCTACTTTACTGCGCTGTAGGTCTCCCTTGCTCCAAAGCAGATTATAACCGGGCAACCAATCAGCAGAAGTATGACGTCAAACTACTCCACTTGGCTTTCGGAGTTTGACTCGTCAATTCAGTCAACATTCTTTCCTTTGGCTTAACGATCCTCCATCCACTACGTGCACATGATGATGATGATGGAATAGCAATAGTCAAAAACTATTGCTATCAGAAAATTTTTTTGCGTGATTTCAGTCTTTTAGTCAGCGACATCTGGAAGGTCTGACGACATACCTTTTATTGATTCGAGTTACTACAACGAAGCCACTGAAGGTGCTGGAGAGGTGTTCACAGGCGACTACGATAGTGGTATTGATTTTTATTAACTAATATATATTAATATATACAGTTTATATAATTCTTTTTTTGCAGAAGCTGTCGCCGCCTTATCTTCACGCGCCAACAGCCACGAAAATTTGTCTTTGCGCTCGCAGTTACCCATCGCGTATTTGCTGACGCGTAATGCCCTCAGAACAGCGATAGTACTTTTTATGTTCAGTTTTAAATAGTTGTAAACCCCTGTTATTGCCCTAGACAAGCCCAGTGGCTGCTCAAGAAGAGTCGATGGAGGCTACTGCCGCAGCTAATCCAGGTCTTGAGAGTCTTTGCTGATTGTCACTGTTCTTTCATGTTTGGATGCTCATTTTTAGCAAATTCTTCAAACGACGCACTGCAACAGCCAGTCACAGAGGCCCAACCGTCGGTGCTGGCTTCTACTTCTACCTCTGAGTATGTTTGTTTGCTTTTAGCAATCCATATGGTAAGAAGTGTGCTACTGAAGTTACGACATTTTGAATGGGGGATCGATTGCCTGGGAGAATAATTGTTTTTACCTGGTTTTTTCTAATCGCATCGATGAGAGTCTCCTTTCACATCTCCGGATTCACATGGCGTAGTCGCAACATGCCTTTGCTTCTAATAGCATGAGTAACCGCTTAAGGAGGCCACCTGCGGTGCATCAGCGCATGACCGCGCCACTTTTTCTGGTCAAACAAAAACATGTTCAGACACCATCACCACTATACCTTGATCCGTAGGCACATATAATGAAAAAAAATTAACCTTGATCTGCTTAAACCTTCCCTTCGGCTATTAGAAGCGACGCTATCATACGAATGCACCATGTACATCCGCAGGAAATTGTTATTCTTACCGGCGGTGTCGAAAAGTAGTAGCTTGCTTGCCCATAATACCAGATAGATTTTATTGTATATGCGTACTGATCGAGATATATAAATTGATATATTTCGAAAAGACATATACAAGTGCCTGAAATATTCCTCCCTTCAAATCGTGTTTTTTTTCTACGCAACAAATAATCCGGTGATACCGATGGCCGACTAAAAATTAGCTGGTGTGAAAATTTAATTTCAAAAACTTAAATTTAGTCAAATTCTGGACGCATCCAATTATGCTCACGCGCTGAAAGTCGGTACAGCCAAATTAGGCGACTCTTTGTTGTCATTATTGGTCAGACTGCACAACAGAATGGCAGAGAGCGATTATCGACCCCCGCCCTCTTTCCCTTCTTCCTCCGAAGCCGGTGATACCGATGCCGAGTCAGCAAGCTATGGCGATGGTCCGCATGCCATTAGAAGACTGCTCAACCGTGTCTGCGCTTTGGACGAGGCTTGCAGAACCGAACTGGAAAGTATATGCAACACGTTGTATGCTTGCCGAAGTGCATCGTCGGAAAGCATGCACCTGGTGAAAAAGTATGCACAAAAAATACTTATTTTTCGAAGAGTGCTACTTTAAAGTATGAAACAATAAATTCTCAAAATGATAAGGTACCTTGGTTTGCTAGTCTAATGATTTGTAACTGATCTCTGCTGTGATACTATAAGGCAATTATGATTCACATCGTCAAAGGGCGATGCCGGTGTGAACTCGTCTTTTAATTCAGTTGTGGGAATAACATTGAAAATTCTGTTGTCCAGCGCGATGACAGTTGAACGATTTTTTAATTGATGACGATTGCATTAAATAAGTTTTTTCTCTATATAATATCAGAATAAATGCGTTATTTTTTAATAGTTTTAATGTGTCTTTCAGTAAAAGAAATATTTATGGCTTCTGCGACGCTTATTATCCACACCCTTTTCAATAATTTAATAATGGGGTTCACTTTAATCACTTGGGTCAGCCTTTAATTAGAGACGAATCGCGCTGACTGCATACGCTCACCATTTCTCGCTGGCTTTCAGTCTGTCTCCCTCCAAAGACGGCCTTCCCGGCTACTGATATATACTTCCCATGCTATTGTAGGGTAGCTAAACAGCCTGGTGCGCCAACAGTC